GTTTGGCGCAATGGGGAATATGCAAATATGCTTAAAGGAAATATGCGGATGTTTCGTAATTATAATATCTCATCTATAATGTATTAAAGAAATTTCAATTTCTTCATATAATTCCAGTTATAGAAGTTTTTTTACGTTCCTCAAGAATGATGTAAACTACTAGGCGAGAAGTGCAACAAAATAACTTAAGCGATATGTGTTTCTTTGAACACTTCCGGAGTTTCGTATACGGAGGCATTTGGCACGGCATTTTGGCTAGCGTTGATCGCTTGTAATTATCAATGAATTGAGAACAGTGAATGGAATGAATTGGTTCATTTTGTTGATAATTTGATTTCATTTCACCTAATCTACTGGTTGCAGCTGTGGAATCTGAGAAGTTTTTGCAAGAATTATAAATTATCCTAATGGGTAAACGTATAGGAGATGGATCGTGGAATCTTTTGATGAATGGTTTTAATTAACGTTACGATCGAAACAGATTTTCGTCGATGACGTGGAATGCAGTGGAACATTATGGCGATATTTGTAAATTGTTATTTGCAAAAGTGTCGTGAAATATGAGTAAACGCTTAGGCTAATATGCGAATTTAGGTATTAGTTAGATATTGTGTTGGTTAGACTGCACTCGATGCATGCCAAATACGGAACTCCGGAAGTACGTCAACAGCGTGAACATCATGGCGATGAAACGGTGTATGATAATGATGAAGACAACGTCTTGTTGAAGTTGGTTATGGTTTTGAGATGATTCGCTGTCGATTCGATCATTTCTATTGACAGCATTCTTGACTCATAATCAGACTTTAAGGAATCGATCAAGTGAGTGACCTCTTGCGGATTGCCATACCAGAAGAGGTCTTTGATGAACGCGTTATACAGATGCCTTGCAGTTTGATTGTTCACATCTGAATGTTTCGCGAGAAATTATGACTTTTGATGGGTTTTAGTTGAGTTCGTTGCTTATGATTAGCAAAAGTGAAGCGGAGATTCAGTGATATTTACAGGACAGTTTAATGAAATGTTGAGTTGATTTCGTTGGTTAAGAATGAATTGTAGAAGATTCGATGAAACGCTTTAAGAGGCAGTTACCTGAAGACTGTCCACTGAATGTAACATCGTCAAAGTCGACGTACGCAGGTCGATTATTGATCAGAACGAACTGAAACAATAAAATTGAGGTAACGTTTAATAAGGTAGGACTGAATGTTCTTTAGTGAATTTTGGTTCCTTTTTGAAGCTGATAGTTTATTATGTTGTGTGATGGCAATGGAGTATTGTGATGTCTCACATGAGACTATTCGATGAAATTAGACTGAGTAAAGCCGAACAAATAAATCAATTAATTAGGGTCACTTTCATTTGAAATCCTTAATTGGGAAAGAGTTTTTGTTGAATGAGGTTTTCACTGAATGAGTTAATGGCCAATTTGTGATCCAAATGCTTAATAATGAATAATTGTCAGCAATATTTTTAAAATCATTGCTCTAGCTTTCTAAGCAATGGGGAGGGGGTTGTCGACGTTTCCAAATGACAACGTCATTTTTCGTTCAAGCTAATTTTTCCGATAATGATTTTCAATCTAGCGCGGTGTTTGTTGCTATGTATTCGGGAAGGTATCAACTAATTTGATAAAAACGTTCATAAATTCGAAGACACAGAAAAGAAATATGAATCGTGAATAATAAACGAAAGTGATCACGACCTGTTGTCTTCGCAGATCGTTTAGCGTGTATGGTCGAATTCGTTGAAGAAATGCGACAATTTCATTCAACAGTTTGAGCCGTTTGAACCAGTCGATTTGTATCAACATAACCATATCGATGGGATGACCACCTTCAATGAGCATGGCCAATCGATCCGCATTCTGATGCGCATCTTGTGGGATACAATACGCGAACAGCTGAAATTAAACGCGATTAGTCATAAATCAGAATTCGGTAAGACGGAGACGATAGTTTGTTTTTCTTTTTTTAATGAATGTTGCAGAAGCGTCTAACGGTTTGCGCTAAATGATAAATGGATTAGAATGTGTTGGAAAGCAAGCAAAAAATGCAAATCGCAACAACGAATAAGCAGCGGCAATATGAGCGGCATCTATAACAATAATAATAACAACGATTCAAAACGACTATTTCCCAGTTGAAATTGCAAATGAAATGCGGCTTTGATACGGCCGACTGATGATGAACATTCTTCACATCATATCTGGAGGAGTATCTGTGAACGTTGGTTGTTTAGCATTCAGTTTAATGCTACTGTAAAGCTGTTTTTGCTGTCCATATGGAATCATTCGTTTTGAAGGGATTCTTCTTGTTTTTTTAGCGGATAGTGTAACTGGTAGATTGATTAAGAATGTCAGAATATTAAAGCACCTCAAAGAGTTTTGCTTTTGATTATTTCTTGGAGCGTTTAGATGATTTCTCGATGAAGATGAGAAAAAATTGTTGAGGTGTTGCGATATAGAGAAAGATCTGGAGTGCGCTCTTTCATAATTTTTGAAACGGAGAGCATTTGGCTGATGGATGTCGGCTTAGAAATATGAGAATGTCAGAGAAAATTATGAGCAGCTGGGTTGTAGTTATTGCTTTTGCATATTTATTATCATCACTATGAATATGACGTCTTAATTTTAGTATTATTGTTACTACAATTAATATTAATGTTAATGTCATAAGTATCATAGTACCACATATCATTGTATCTTGTAATGTATTAATCATTGTTGATGTTTGGATGAGATAATGACGAGTTCGTAGTTATCCTAGCCAGGAACTCTTTTAATAAATCACATCAACAGCAGGCAGTGTTTGCCCATAAATTTCGTTGAAAATATGAAGTGATTAGTTGTGAAATATGGGATAGTGAGGGTGGTGTTCGAATCATCATAAGTGAACATATATAAATTTTGCAGCATTTGAAAGAACGCAGGCAGTTTGTTGTCCTAATGTGAACTATTACATTAATATATCACAACACAGATATTGTCAAAACTATACCACAAAAGAAGATTGATGTACTCGCCTTGCATCACTTTGTAAATCTTCAATATGAATGAACTATCGAAATGGCGAAGCGCTGGGATTTGAGGCGAGTTCACATCGGAGGAAAGAAAAAGGGAGAGAGAGGTTTAATCTTTTGAGTTTAGTTTAAAAGAATTTCTTCTCTTTTCTCTCATCCATCCATCATATTCTTGCTCTTAGCCATTGTGAGTAATAAGCTTGCCTCCTGCTTATTAGCTTTATTGTTCGATGATAGAAAATATTTCGTTGCGATGGATCGTCCATCGTTGAGTACTGAGAAGATATGGATGGATCAGGAATAGCATCGTTTCGAAAGTTTAAGATTGAAACAGTTGATTATGGGGCACTTTGGGCAGCTGATTATAGCACTTGATAACTTGAATGAACTGTTGATGAAAAACAAATTATTCGAATAACATTGTGAACATAATCAATTTCGGGCTATCCGCAATAATATTATGAAATCAAAATATTCGTTTCTTTTGATCATTTTTGGAATCATCCTAATTTCATTTTTTTCGTTTCATTAGATATAGCTTATCTGCTTTCTATCATCAATATATCAGCAGTGTATCGCCATTAACGTCATCATTAAACGCGTGCGTTGTTTATTCATTGCCGCAGAAGCAATCATTAATCTTTTTCTGTTCCTTCCCACTCCACTTCTCTCTGTTGATCCTCTTCCCTTGCATCTTCTGGTGCTTGTTTTTATGTTGGACTGCTCGTTAATTTTACAACGAGCACATAATCGTTATAATGCAATTAAGAAGATTTGTTACTGCTGATGTTGTTGCTGCTGCTAATGCAAATGTCTGTCTTCAAAGAGCCGCGAGTAAGGCTGACATAAAAAATTGCTTTGCGAAATGTTGCCATTTTACTGAATGTTAAGCGGATAAACAGAGCTAGTGAAGGCATCAAGTTCACGGCTTTTACTCTTGTCATCTTCTACAATTTGATATCATGCTTCATCTGCACGTGTGAATATTGTGCGAATCGTTCGAATGTCAGCATTGAATTGATTTGAAATTCAGTTTCGAGGAAATTCTTACGATCAGCAAAATTTCTATGAAAATATCGTAAAGTTTCAACTTCAGACTTTGGCAGATATTCATTCGGAATGTCAGAGTTAATAAGAAAGAATCTTATCGAAGATAAAGGAATCCTGAACGCTCGAGACAGCAGTCTATGGAGCAATCTATTGAGCGATATTTTCGAGTTGATTTAAGGGATTTTGGGAGCGATATAGATTATGGAAAAGATGTATGGATGTATGAGAAAGAGCAGACAAGTACTGTTAATATGAGATGTGTGCGGGATGAATTTTTATTCATTTCCAGCGTTTAGCTCTTTTTCGAAAAATTTCATTTGCGACAATCCAATGCAATCCCAATCCCAATCCCAGGTCGCATACATTGTTGGTGGAAAAAGCAAAAGATGGTAGTGGTTGGTTGAAGGGAGTTGAATTGAATTGACGGAGGTCTGCGAATTCGATTTAACTCGTTTTCTGCCTCAGCAACCAAAAATGATTGATGCAGTTTGTGCAATGTGTCAATAACGAACCAATGAATGAAGGAATCCGTCGAAATGCCGTTACGGATCGACGAACGAATGAAGGAACAGTGAATTTGTATGAAATGGACGGAAAGCACCAAAGAAGAGTTCGCAATATTAATGAAGATTATTTTGTTAATTGTTGACTGATCAAAATACGAAATTCGAAACAAAAGAATGAAGAGGAAGAAGCAGTAGAATAAGAATGGGAATAAGACAAAGACAAGTACTGATGTTGATGGTGTGCTGCTTGGTTAGTAGTCATAAAAGGAACAAGAACGAGAAAACGATCACTCAGATCAAGTGAGTAAGTAAGCACTTTATCCACACTCAATCAACCAGCTAAAAGACAAAGTCAGCTGCTCTTTGATGCTTTTTGAGTTGTTTAAAATTGTTGAGATCAATTTGAAATTGAAAGTCGGAAGTTTGGCCGATTGAAATCATCGTATGAAATTTACTTAAAAGATAAAAGGACGTTTATATCTCTTAATATTGATGCAACAATAGTATTGATGATTGTGAATATAATATAATTCAACAATAACAGCAATATTCGTTGAAATATTCTTCTTGTAAGAATTGATTCTGAGTTAATAGAGCATCTTAAAAGCACATGATTTTTTCAGCGCACTATTTTGGAAGATTCAATATGATTTTCAGACTTTAAGGTTTCAATTTGATATGGAAAATGTTGAGTGCTCTCGTGAGATTTTCATATTTGATCGTTGGATGTCGATTGAAAAAATCAGTGCTATCGTTATGTGAGTTCGGATATGAGGAAAACAATCCAAGACTGAACTGTGATCGGGCAAAAGTGGATGAAAAGATAGAAGAAAATCAATCGAAATGTGAAGAGTGGAGGAAGCTGACAATTGTTTCTGGCTGCAGTCTAATAAGATTAATCAGCTTACCTTCGGAACATTTTCGTCGGCTTGTAGATCAATAAGTACACCTATTTCGCGGACAAAACGCCTAATGGCCATGTCCAGGCAATCTTCACTCTGAAAAAAAAAGGCAAATGAAATGATAATTTCAACTTTGATGATATCGAATGGTTAGTGAAAATATTCGAGAAACCACTTTGGAAAAATACGCATCTGAGCGACTACGTGATGCGGGCAGCAGTTATCTTCAAATAATCCTCAAAAGAAATGATGAGTGGATGCAATCGTTTCAAATGAAATTTCTTAAGACTAGATAACATTGAGCGATCTTGAATGGTTGTTCTATTCCTATTGTTATTGTTGGAATATTATAAAATATAATCCCTGGAAACATATTGTATCATGATGAAAATGTCATAGAATAGAGCGTTCTAACATTGATCATCCAATAGAATCTATTCATTTCAGAATGCAATGCATAAATGATTCAGTTAGGACGAATTTTGTGAAACTAATGCGATGTTATGAAACATAAACATATCAATATTGTACTGTTATCAGAGCATTACTTTAGGACATTATCTTTCAGAAATATTTTATTATTATAATATCGATAGCGCAGGATTGTATTATCTCATTGTGATAGTTATATTATCATAGTGCACTTAAATGATTACACTGCTCTAAGTCGTATTGTATCAATTGATTATTGAGCAGATCATGTTGTAGCGATAGTTTAAAGTATTGCAACATATTCTCATCCCATCTCAGCTAAATCGAAAAATTTGGAAGGACGCATTCGTAAAATTCGGTGGTAATATATAACAGTGGAAGGCGAGATTGACAACAGGAGAATAGAAGGAAGTGAGTTGTGGCATAGGATGAAATATTATGACGAGTCATGATGAATTAAATTTCGATAGCGATTCGGTGGATGCAGGTAATATCTTATGTTATTCATTTATTTGATGGATAATACAGAACGTGAAACGAACATTAAAGTAGCGATTTATTGTTGTTGCGGTGTCTTGTTGACATCGTCGAATCGCAGTTCCTTTCAAATTCAACGTCTTCAAAGCAAATCGTCCTTGGTCAAGTTGGATCTCATAAACGTTTTTATTCCAACCTTTACCGATCTTTTTTTGCGCCATTAGAAATTCTCGACTGCTGGTCGCTGTTATTGAATCCGTCGCCCTGCCATCATCATTTCTTGGTGCTTTCGCCCATATCCTCTCACAATCTCCGTAAATGTCTTAACAGAACGAAGTCAGTTAACAGGTGGCATCTCTGATTACGTTAAAGGAAAATATTCCAGATGCAGCAAGATTTGGTGTAACAATAGGCTATAAACATGACTAGAAATAATTTCATTGTTTGTAAACATGTTGAGAAACAATTTTATTATTACTATGTCCCTTATCACTATGATATTATCAAACAATCTCAGTCACTTCAATCTGAAACATGCCCTCTGAAATCAGTTATCATATCATCTATTCACTGAGTAATTTTTGAAGAACTGTCACAACCGATTCCGAAAGTTTATTCACTATGAGACGTTCAAATGAAATTTGTGTAACATAACTTCTTCATCATTCCACTGAACAGTGGTCGTCTTATGGCAATGTGCAATATATCACAAATATTGCAGCGATACAAATAAATTTTTGTTTTATTAAGTGACTGAGAGATGTATGTGATTAATGATTTATTCGTTGTTCGTATTGGACAGCTTTAGGGACGGACTGTTATCGGAAAGAAAGAAACAGAATGAATGTGCGTAGTATAATGGTGGTTGGTGGGTAAGTGCTCTTGTTGTTGCTGCTGACGTTGTTGGGGAATGATTAATGGGAATGCGTGAAATGAAGTGGTAATGGATCATCTTTAGATTGTAATCACCAATCTCTATTTCATAGTTTCACTCATTTATCATTATTTAATATTTATTATGATTATTATGTTATTATTGTAATTGTTGTTATTATTGTTATTATTTTGATTATTACTGTCATTATGATAATAGTTATCATTATTATCATTCACTCTGTTTATTGATATTATGGAGCGATAGGAATACTCGTAATACCAGTGATATAGCGTTGGTAGTATTATATTAATGTAGTAATAGTTGGTTTATGAATTTTCATTGAGCATTTTGATGAAGCGCTTGATATGTCACATTTTTCGGAATTTTCAGATTTTTTTTCAGAATTTCAAGAGCTAACTTAGCGGGTACGATGACAGATTCGGAAAATAATGGCAGTTTTGGTGGCAGATATGGGAATGTGCAGCAAGCTTTGTAAATAATAGGATGGTTTTAAAACGAAGAAAAATAAGATTGCAGACAGACAAGGCTGGTATGAAGCAGTACGGTAAGAGGCAACAGCCCACCTGGTGCATTGCGAAACCTCCACTGTCCGTTGTGAAGATGTAGTCGATGCTTTGCACTTATCGCATCCTCTGAAAGTACATTATTGACTGAGGGATTGCAATCTAGCAATCGCTGAATTAAATTATTAGAATATTAATGATTATTATCAACGATCGACATCACATTTCCGTTCTCATAAGAGAAAGCTTCCGGTTCGAAACTATATTATTTGCAAGCGAATGGGTAAAATTTGAAGAACCTGGATCAAACTGTAGCCATGGTACGGTAGGAGTAAAGTGATAGAGTCGTGTCATGATATCAGGCATACGGTAGATGATGAGCACGATAACGATGGCAGTGAACGCACTGACGAAGAGAACTGGGTCCGGGCGGGTAACCATTTGCCAGCTATCCCGCTCGGACCTTCAGCAACAGCAGCAGCTCTTCCAGTTAAACCTTGACTGAGTGAACAAAATATATACTCGCGCTCGGCTGAATGCGCAATTTCATATAGTCGTGGTGATGATGTTGATGGTTACTGCACAGTCTGAAGATAGCGATCAGAAATTATTTTTAGAAAGCTTCGATGGAATTCCAGGAACTATAAAATTATTTTCGATTTCAGTTGACGAAATGAATTTAGTGATGATTGATACACGACGCGATCAGGTAAGTTTATGGAGAAGTTGAGAACGATACACCAAGTTGCAATTGGTTTTGTTGCGATTTGCAATAAAACAAAATTATCACGCTTTATCCAGCAAATCTCAGTAAATACTCGAATGAAATAAGATTCGATTCGTTGTTCTGGCTTATGATCTTAAGCGATCCAATTGAATGATCAATAGAAGAGAATATAATAGAAGTGATTTATGAGTGCGTGAATGATTGAAACGATTATGGAAGACAATTGATGAAATGCGCATCGAGTGCACATTTATCCACCCAGCAAGCGTACATATCAACGGATATATATACCTAAATATAATTAATAATCTCACAAATGACCAATTACACATCTCACTGAACAAGTGGTCTGCATTACTAACCTCTCTAACCGATCCAACCGAAAAACCAAGACAGCACTCTTTTTACTGGTCTTTTTCCTCTCATCATCACCTTTCAGCCCTGAACAGGTTCGCCACCTTCCGGTTGTTCAGTTAGCTACCTGCCTAGATTTCTATCTTCTTCGTATATATCCTACCTTTCCGTACGTCTCCATCCATCATCACCATAATTACCATCGTCATCATTATCATATAGCTACGTAGATTTCCCAGCTGAGATTTCATCACACATCATTGGTGACCTATCGCTGGATTATCTCGATGACCTACTGTCTAATTACTGACTAATGAAATGAATTGTTCGATGTATAACTGGAAGGCAAGCTTGAAGCCTGCAGAAACAAGTAATAATGCCTTAATGGATGAAATAACGTGAAGGTACTTGATGCAATTGTGAAGTGTTCAATTTACAATCACAATCTTGATAATAACCGTTAAAGAAGTGCTGAATAGAGAGATGTTCGCTGAAGCACACTGGAATGATATATGTATACATAGACATGGATATAGTGATTGTGCTCAAGGAGAGCCAGGCGTGTGTTAAAATTAAGCCAAGCACAGGCAACAATCCCTTAGGAAACGATTATTCGGGGTGGAAGCTCATTGTCGCGGTCATTTATATTGTGACAACGTTTGTTTTATTTATGTTTGATTTATTAGTTCGTTCGTATTCGGTTGGTTATACATTGCGATAGACACCCGCTAACCATATTGAGCCATCCGTCCGATCTGATCATGGACACATCTCAGTGCAAAAGAGGATATGCAATTCATCTTTGACTATTATAGAGAGATGGAAAGGATTTTCATGTAGAAAGAAAGGGTTAGTTGCTGTGTGTTTCGTTGTTGATTTCACATGAGACATTCATTCATTTGCGAACACCATCCGCTTGAGCAGATATTTTTTTTGTTCGTAGCGCATCATTCGTATTGGCCTGCCTAGCTGGCTTATGCACACTCATACAGTGTATCATGGCATTTTTGTGTTTATCTATCTATGCTTGTTTGATTCAGATTGACTTCATCCGACTGAATTTCTTAGAGTCGTCAGTTTCATCAACATTTTTAAAGTTTCAAACGTTTAACAAACTAGCTTTCCGGTTAAAATATATTTCAACAAACAATAAGCATCGATGGCATCTAACGTATCTGTCATCAATTGCTATAGCAGATTGAATTGCTGAACAGCTGAGGTGACGATCAGTTGTCATTTGTATCAGTCTTAGAATTTGATCAATATTAGATGATCGACGCGATCAGCGAATCGATCGATCCCCATGAAGAACAGCCATGATGGACGATGGATTTTTCTATGATTCAACGAAATGTTGTGAATATATTCGAAAAACAGTTTTAGACTGCAAGCAATTGAATTATATTAAATAGATTGGATTTGGACTGAATGGAAATCGCAAATCTTATTTGTTTGGATTGGTGAGTGATGAAGAAAGTACGTTAAGCTTGCAGTGAGCATAATCAATCATTTAAAGACAGACACTGGCATAATGCAATCTATGAGAACGTTTACGCATGCATGAAATTATGATGCTGCTATTCGATTACAAATTACAGAATGAATGAAGTTTTTAAACATGAACGCAATAACCGAGAGCCAGAATTCAGAACCACTGAAAGGAAGCGTTACGGTGATTTGGCTCCAGCACTGGGGTGAATTTACTGAAAAGCTTTTGATCAACGAAGAATCATCTTAATGATCCGATCAATTTATCAACCCGGCAAAAGTCCTGATAATCTTGATAATTCGATTGAGCACAGCTAATTCGTACAAGTTGGATTCATTCTTTGAGAATTTCGTTGCACATCGGATGGAAATAACTGTGTTGAAGTCTACACGAAGAAAATGGCATTGAGAAGAAATCGGTTTCGATAATGTGAAATACAGTAGTACTGATTCATCGATAGCAAACAGACTCTCTTTTATGCATGTGACAAATTGAATGACGAAATTTTATTTCGATTGTATGAAATTCGAATGTGGATTCTTGCGCTGCATTGAAAATGCTCATAGATTGAGTTGTTATATTCAGTTGTTATTTGACTACGTGAAATGATCTATTGCCAAATAATGGCTCACCTAAGATTGATATGTTTTGTGAAGATGTTCTTGTGGAAAGAAGCAAGTTCGCAGGATGTTTTATGTTGTTTTCCACACATTTCTGAACGAACATCAACGGTAATTGATTGATTGGTGAAGAATGAAAACGATCAAGAATTTTTGCTCAAAATTGGCAAAAAAAATTTTTTAATGCAAGCGTTTGCTAAGCGATTGAGTGGACGAACCGGACCGTATTCTGCTGTTAATATTGGCGTTGATGAATGCTCTACACAAAAGCATTCTTCAACTATACTCTATTTTCGCATCTCAGAATAATAATGAATCGACGACGACTGAATGAATGCAAACAAACAAAAAATTCAGTCGAATCAAAAAAATGTTTTCGAGTTCTTTTTCTTCTGTTCAAATTCCATCTTATATTACATTTGGTGTTTTGCACTTACTGATCGTAAGGCATCTAGCTCTATCTATTCATTTATTCAAGCATTCGTTCTAAGCGTTTTGTTCTTATTTCGTTGTTCACTGTTCACAATACTTGGATTAGTACACCACGGACGGAGGCAGGGAGGGAGTAAGTATCACATGAATGAATCGAGTTGTTATTGGAATAAGAAGAGTGTGGCAAGGAAAAGCATGAATAAGCGAAAAAAAGTGTTCGTTTCATTCCAACAACGTTTTCTGTGCATTCACGAACGGATATGGCTGCTTAATGCTGTTTGTTACTACTTGCAGTGACATTATTCTTATTGCAACAACACACGCATGCTATACGACGATAGATCGCAACTGTCTTACATACATAAATAATTCTCAGCAAACAAATCAGTTTCATTTCCAGACGATAACGACTGCTTTAATCTCGAACTGAATCAGCTATCCAATGGTACGAAGTACGACACAGGTCGTACTTCGGTTGTAAGTAAGCTTGTAATCTCCAATAACTAAGTAGAAGATCATTTCAGTAGGTAATCTATCAAGGCGGATCATATTGGTTGAAGAGTGATAGAGCTTCAAGACATCACAACAGGCTTACGAAAATGTTAGCTGTATGAAATTGTAGACAAATACATGAATAGCAAATAAATGAGCAAATGTTAAATGAAAATAGAATCGAGTAAATATAAAAGTACGATCATTTTGAGGAAAAATGTAATGAACGATATATTAAATTATATACGATAGCAATAGGATCATATACAAAACTGGATAGTTCCTTCATAAAGGGAGCAACGAAACATTGGGCTCGTATATTCATCTGACGAGCGCATTCTTCTGTTGACCTGTTTATTGATTCAGAAGAAGTACTTTTCGTGGAAGGAAAACGAAAATAACAATGGAGATGGTCTTATTCCATTGGTATCGCCCTCAAAGACTAGGACTGCCTCAAGCCTTAGAGCTTACGGATGCGAAAAATAGCTTCTGCGACGGTGGTCGATGGTCACTGGGCCTACGAGAAATTTGGAATAGAACTGAAACCATGAACGTTTGATGGATTTTTGAAGAAGAAGTTCGTTGTTTCGACTTATGCATTTCCTACACACTGGAGGCTCGCTCAGTGCGTGATGAGAGATTTATGCTTATGTTGAAGATTTACGATTGAAAGTTACTTGACGTTCTTGACTCTGCCTGTTTTTTTGACTGATGTTCCTCGAAACGAATTCTTACTCAACAATGCACGCAAACCATTACTGACAATTGATAGATAATCACATGCTCAACTGATAATGTCTTGGATGTATGGAACAAATGCATTGAAACGTTTAAAGCATGAAGGTTGTAGTGACTTGCAGAAGTTTTCGGAGGAAATGTTGAAGAGTAGTGGTGATTGAGTAGGAAAAAGCGTTTGTTTCACTTTCGTAGAATTTATCAGAAGTTGAGCTGGGCTGAGATAACTGACTTGAACAGTGAATGAATAAATGAAAGATGTAAATTCTTTGGATGTCGTTGTTGTTGATGGAGATGAAGAGGAAGGATCTATCAGATGCGCTCCTCCCTCATAACTACGATAGGATTGGATTCACTACCATATTTGTAATTTTAGCTGTACCAGTTGCTTGCTAACACCCTCATATATTCATTCAACTTTATCAATTGATGATCAAAATAAGTGAATATACTCAATTCCCAAATCCCATAACTCATAAACGGCTCGCCATACATCTCAGCCCGATGAACCTAATCAAATTTGAAACTTACTTAACACATCGGCACATCCATCTTCATGCAATCCCGAAAAACTATAATAAGATCGTACATT